TTCCTGAAACTTTCCTCAAAGGACGATCACTGGTTGTAGTTGTGCAGTGAGGTCGTTCAGTTCCAATATGTCTACCGTTGCCATGGAAACCTGTCAAAAGCGACAAATTTTGTCCGAGAGTGTTCTCTCTGGTCCCTTAAACGTTCGTCATGAAACTTTTCTTATTTTAAGGATTAGTATCTGTAGTTCTGCAACTCGTATTTAAAATTTTCATATAATCGATTATTGCCATGGAAACCAGGTGAAAGTAAAAATTCTTTAATTTCGATTTTCTCAATAACTACACTGTACTCAGGCAATCGTTTTGAAACTTTCAATGTTTATTCCTTGCAATGTGTCAAAGTGATTTCTACTTTCAAAATAATTGTAATGAGTCGCTCACAGTTGCCATAGAAACGAAACAGAAAAAAAGATTCAGATGTACACATGTGTTCTCCAAGGTCTAGGTCAAAGGGTCAAAGTTCGTCGTATCCAATAAAAGTTCTTTTCACAAGGATTACATATTTGAAATACGAAAGCCCTAGTACTTACCGTTCAAACGTTATGGCTATTTACTATGTTCAAGACGACCCCCCCCCCCTTTTTTTGAAGCACACAGCCAAGTTGAATACACAGATATAACATATACAACTTACAAATAACTTTTTAAAATCTTCATTCATAAAATTCAGTTCCCGTCATGTGATATTTTGCCATCATTCATTCTCCTTCTGGTTTGTCTCTTGAATTTATAAATATTTTATTTTATCTATATAAAAAAAATAACGATTGTCAGCTGCATTTATTATCATTTCGCGTTTTCTTGTATATCTATCACTTGTATATTATTCATTTCATTAGATAGTGCAAGTATAAATTAAAAAATTGGTACGTCATTTCCATAGTTTTTATTCATTCATAAATTCTTTGATCCGCTCCTGATGGTTCGCAAAGCCTTGATCACCACTGTATACAAAACATTCATCTCGCCGAAAATGTTCATGATTCCGCTAAACTGAGAAAGTTCACACATGATTTATCATCTCATAACACACATCAGCTCTCTGCAATGCAGAAATGCTCGAATTGATGGTGGCATGTCAGATTCGTTTTTCGGTAGAACCTCTAAAATGAAAGTGAAAGAGGGAAATTTCAGAGTTCCCACTGGCGTTACAATACACAAAATAATTCGGCTGATCTTCTTCATAAATTACATTTCCCAAGCTTTTATGATAGGAAAGATACTGCCAATTAACAAGTATGAGGCTCAGTTCAGTACATCTGCCAGATTTCGTTTATGCAAGTCTGCAAATTGAGGAACTTGTAATTTTCCTGCACTACTTTCTTCTCCTACCGATTCTAAAAATAATGAGAGGGATGTACCGAATTAAGGTCTTCCGTTTCCAATGGAAAGGACTGATATAACTCAAAGGTTTTCAAACTTAGCTTATGGACTTTTGTTTTAGTGATGATAAAAATGAAAGTCTTGTCTAATACGGGGCGACATATGCTATTGCTTGCAATAGCAGACTTTCTAGTTATTATTATTTTTCTTCTTCCTGGGTACTTTTTTGTCCGGGAGTGATCTTGTAAACTATACATCCGACTTAGGTAAAACCTTTTTAGGGTCAGTAGGCATGTTATGTAGATTTGCGGAACGAAGGTCATTTTGCGCGCACGTGCTTGCAAGAGCGTGCACGTGCAACACGTGAAATGACCGATTTAATTCATATAGGCGTAAATTTTCACATTTTTGATGAAATGCTTTGAAACTCATAATATAAGGATATTTTTGTAGCATAGACAATATGACATTGTCAAAATAGCAAGAACTCACGCGCATGCACGTGCGCTTCGCTCTGATTGGCTGAAACTAAAGTCTCAATATCTTTCTTGTTCTTTGACGAAATCTTTTGAAATTTTGAACATTGCCATACATTATGATATCCTACAACATGATATATAGCAATTATCATGAAAACACGTGCATGCACGTGCGCTGCAATCTGATTGGCTGAAAGTTTAAATAGCTATAACTCCCTTGGTTTTCAACCAACTAGGATGGGATTTGGAACATAGATAAATATAATGAACTTCTACAAGAAGGTATGGTCACTATGCACATGCATACACATGCGTGTACGTGCGCTGCAATCTCATTGGCTGAAACTTTAAACAGCTAGAACTCCCTTGGTTTTCAACCAAATGGGGTGGGATTTAGAACATAGATAGATGTAATGGACCTCTACAAGAAGGTATGGTCACAATGCTGATGTATGCACGTGCGTGCACGTGAAATGAGTAAAATGAAAAATACACTTGAATGAGCGTATTTTTTTTAATACTTTTGGATTAAATACTTTAATATTGTGTAGACAAGATGATATGATCATTACGCGCATGCATTCACATGCGCACGCGTGCAATGCTCAAATTTGAATGAACTTGATACACTTTTGGGTAAACGTTTTAAAGTCTCAAATGCATAGATTTTGTCTTATTTAATGAGGCTTACAGGGAATATGACACCAAATGGACGTTGGGGAGCGTTTGGGGAACATCTGTTACGGTCCCCGTTACAATTAGCACTAGTTATGTTCCCCAAACGAAGTTGGGGAACATATTGTTTTTACTCTGTTTCTTATTATTATTATTTTTCTTCTTCTTCTTCTTCCTGGGTACTTTTTTGTCCGGGAATGATCTCGTAAACTATACATCCGACTTAGGTGAAATGTTTTTAGGGTCAGTAGACATGTTATGTAGATTTGCGGAACGAAGGTCATTTTGCGCGCACGTGCTTGCAAGAGCGTGCACGTGCAACATGTGAAATGACCGATTTAATTGATATAAGTGTAACTTGTTAAACTTTTGATGAAATGCTTTGAAACTTATAACATAAGGATATATGAGTAGCATAGACAATATGACATGGTCAAAATAGCAAGATCTCACGCGCATGCACGTGCGCTTTGCTCTGATTGGCTGAAACTAAAGTCTCAATATCTTTCTTGTTTTTTGACGAAATCCTTTGAAATTTTGAAAATAGCCATGCATTAGAATATTCTACAACATGATATATAGCAATTATCATGAAAACACGTGCATGCACGTGCGCTGCAATCTGATTGGCTTAAACTTTAAATAGCTATAACTCCTTTGATTTTCTACCAAACAGGATGGGATTTGGAACATAGATAGATATACTGGTCTTCTACAAGAAAATATGGTCACCATGCACATGTATACACGTGCATGTACGTGTGCTGCAATCTGATTGGCTGAAAATTTAAACAGCTATAACTCCCTTGGTTTTCAACCAAACGGGGTGGGATTTAGAACATAGATAGATACAAGAAGATATGGTCACCATGCTCATGTATGCACGTGCTTGCACGTGAAATGAGCACAATCAAAAAACACTTGAATGAGCCCACCTTTTTAATACTTTTGGATTAAGTACTTTAATATTTAGTATATTAAAGTATATAGATTGTGTAGACAAGATGATATGGTCATTACGCATATGCATTCACATGCGCACGCGTGCAATGCTAAAACTTGAATGAACATTGTACACTTCTGGGTAAACGTTGTTAAAGTCTCAAATGCATCGAGTTTGTCTTATTTAACGAAGCTTCCAGGGAATATGGAACCGAAAGGGAGTTGGGGAGCGTTTGGGGAACATCTGTAACGGTCCCCGTTACAATTAGCACTAGTTATTATTATTCTTCTTCTTCTTCCTGGGTACTTTTTTGTCCGGGAGTGATCTTGTAAACTGTTCATCCGATGTAGGTAAAACCTTTTTAGGGTCAGTAGAGATGTTATGTAGATTTGTGGAATCAAGGTCATTTTGCGCGCACGTGCTTGCAAGAGCGTGCGCGTGCAACACGTGAAATGACCAATATAATAGATATAGCCGTAACTTTTTTTATTTTTAGATGAAATGCTTTGAAACTCATAATTTTATTATTTATTAGTAGTATATACATGATGACATGGTCAAAATAGCAAGATCTCACGCGCATCCATGTGCGCTTTGCTCTGATTGGCTGAAACTAAAGTCTCTATATCTTTCTTGTTTTTCGACGAAATCCTATGAAATTTTGAACATAGCCATGCATTAATATATCCTACAACATGATATATAGCATTTGTCAAAAAATCACGTGCATGCACGTGCGCTGCAATCTGATTGGCTGAAATTTTAAATAGCTATAACTCCCTTGCTTTTCAACCAAACAGGATGGGATTTGGAACATAGATAGATATAATGAACTTCTACAAGAAGGTATGGTCGCCATGCACATGCATACACGTGCGTGTACTTGCACTGTAATCTGATTGGCTGAAACAGCTATAACTGCTTTGGTTTTCAACCAAATGGAGTGGGATTTAGAACATAGAGAGATGTAATGGACGTCTACAAGAAGATATGGACAACATGCTCATGTATGCACGTGCGTGCACGTGAAATGAGTTAAATAAAAAATACACTTGAATGAGCGTAGTTTTAAATACTTTTGGATTAAATACTTTAATATTTAGTACATTAAAATGTATAGATTGTGTAGACAAGATGATATGGTCATTACGCACATGCATTCACATGCGCACGCGTGCAATGCTAAAATTTGAATGAAGTTGGCATTGTTAAAGTCTCAATGCATGGATTTTATCCTATTTAATGAAGCTTACAGGGAATATATGGCACCAAAAGGGAGTTGGGGAGCGTTTGGGGAACATCTGTAACGGTCCCCGTTACAATTAGCACTAGTATTTTATGTGCTTTGTTCCCAATTTTTATTGAAATTTTGAATTTTTTGAAGTTTTTTTTCACTTTTCGTCTAAACATGTATTGAACATATAATTTTAAGCATCGTATACCGAAGTAATTGGAAATAATATTTTTGTCAGTAACTGCTCTCGTGGCTCCCTAAAGCTATTTTTAAATCAGGCCACTGCCTTTCCGTATATTCAATATGTAAAGAACGATAACTCTTCGCGGCCTATTATGTAAATACCTGCGGCGTCCAGTACATCTTTGTCAACCTTGTCAGGGGGGTGACACAAAATTCCCTCCACACCCACCACGCCCTCCAGCATCTCCTGCCGGGTAACAAAACGATCCTCCCTCATTGCCCGCACTGTGCAGAACTCCTCGATCATCTTCATCCCCGCGGGCGGGGGAACACGTGAAACGTACACTAGCGGCTTCGACATTTTCTCAGTGTTTGGAAAGTGTCGGACAGATCAGTTTCGTTATCTCGTTACCTGCCTCCCGATGAATGTCTGTCATGACCCATTTTATCAATACGTACGTTATTTCCTATATGGGCTTAATTTCTACGAAAGCCCTGAAGGGACACTCTTCCTATTTAATAAAATTCCCTTCAGAGCTTACGAAATCCGTGATCATTCACGGATTTCGTAAGCTCCGAAGGGAGTCAAGGTACTATACCAAAAGCAAAATTATTGTTGGCGTACTCAAGGAGACTTACTAAAATTGACTGCTCCTTTGTAGCATACCTATAATGACAATTAAATTTGAAAATGTAGCTATAAAATGAACAAATCCTTTGTCTTCGCATGCAACTTTTTGTATGTTTTATTAAAAATAAAATAATGTTAAAGGACTTTTTGTTGGCATTCCACCCAATTTTATTTTTCTTTGATGCAGTTTATTTGACGGACATATCTTGCTGGTCGATCCTTATCTACATTTTCTTTTTATTTATATATTTTTGACCACGTACGGGGAGGGGGGATTATTAATTCTCACAGATATTTTGTCTTTTTTGTGCAATTTCCGTGGACTTTTAAAAAGATCTGCAATATGTGTAAGATATGTATTATGATATATTCCTAGCATGACAAATATAAAAATCATTAAAGAAACTGGAAAAAGTCACTCTGTTGTTTGCATAAGCGAATGATACGACAAATAAATGTAAAGAATTAATTGTCCCCCCCCACTTTCGGTATATGGGATTCCGTTATTTATGGCTTATTTTATCAAATATAGACAACCTTACATCTGTCATTTAAAGAAATCACCAAAGTTATTGTTTTTAAATAAGGTCAAACATGAAATTCAAGGTCAAGGGTAAAAGAACATCTTGTTAAAGGTGGGGAGTGGTAAACCAACAAAAACAATAGGTCCGGGGACCAAATCGCTCACCTGAGCATTGGCTAGGAAAAAAGCAACAAATCAGTTTAGTATTGAAAAGTTTAAATGCATACGTGGTTCCAACATATCCCAAAAAGGGAGAGGGGAGTGATTTGAACAAAATTGAATCTACACCAAGATTATCTTTTAAAAAAGATAGGTGAGCTAGCGCCATAGCAATTTTTAAACACAGAACAGGGACGTAGCAACCGGGGGGAGTGATAAAGTTCAATTGGGGGGGGGTATTTTATAGACCATAAGTAAAGAAACGGAGGGGGGGGGAGGGGTTGATCCCCCCCCCCGCAACGGACTTTTTTTCCCAACAATACTTTTACTATTGAAAATGTTCATTGTAAGGCTGGTTGGCCCCCCCCCCCCACTTTATACTAAAGTAAAGTAATACGAAGGAAGGAAAAATAGTATTGTAAGCTTAAAAGATGGATATCGAAAGGAATTGGTAGTGAAAAAAGTTTGCTTCTACACCCCCTTTTTTTTTTTTTTTTTTTTTTTTGCTTGTCAACTTTTTCAGGTAAGTAAAAAAAAAATTTCAGTGGCTGGCCCCCCCCCCTTTCAAAATCGATGCTAAAATCCCGAAAAATTTGAAGTGTTACAAATATGTAGTTATCTTTAAAGTGTAAGCTACACAATAATACATGATACAACGAAACTGATATCGTACAATCTATCTATAGTAGTTTTCACAGGTTTCCCAGAATGCAAGACCGTGAAGCCGAGCATGCGTATTCAAGGAATTTGGACTAACGTAGTTGAGAGCGCTAGCAATGACTAAGGATGATTACATATTTTTTTAACTAACTGACTTCTTTGTTACAAGTTTGATTTTTATGCGCCCGAATTTTTTCCTGGCGTACATATTTTTTTTGTCCTGTCTGTCTGTTTGTCTGTTTTATTGTTTGTCTGTCTGTTTGTCTGTTTATCTGTTTGTCTGTCTGTTGTCAACTTTAACCTTCGCCATAACTTTTGAATCGTTCGAGATATAGACTTCATATTTGGAATGCATACTCCACTAACTAAACACTTTCAACTGACACCAAGAACAATGACCTTGTGACCTTGACTGTGACCTATATGCTAAAAATAGATATTTCGAACTTTTGCTATAACTTTTGAGCCATAGGAGGTAGAGACTTTATATTTGGTATGCTTACTTAACTAATTAAGTGCTTTCAAAGGACACCGAGGTCATTGACCTTGTGATTTTGACTGTAACCTATATGCTAAAAATAGCTTTTTCGAACATTGTTGCCACCGGACGCATAGTTTTTCAGAAACACATCTTGTTCATAATGTTATAGTAGCCACTGGCCCCACCCTAACCCTGGGGTCGTGATTTGAACAAACTTGAATCTAGACTATCTGAGGATGCTTCCATATAATTATATGACCCATCATGGCTTTGATGTTCTTGAGGAGAAAATTTTAAATTTTTCCTGCATATTTCTATGTAAAAAATTAATGTCCAGTGTGACCCAACCCTTATCCCAAGGGTCATAATTAAAAAAAAAATGAATCTACACCACTTGAGGATGCTTCCATATAAATATGACCAATCATAGCTTTGCAGGTTTTGTGAAGATTTTTTTTCCATATACTCCTCTGTTAGGTGTAAACTTTGATTTTCCATTGTGGCCCCACCTTACCCCGGGAGTCATGGTTTGAACAAACTTGAATCTACACCACCTGAGAATGCTTTCATATAAATATGACTATTCATGGCTTTGCTGTTCTTGAGGAAAAGATTTTTGAAGATTTTTTTTTATATATTACTAAGTAAAATTTTTATCGTCTATTGTGGCCCCACCCTACCCCCAGGGGTCAGGATTTGAACAAAATTGAATTTACTCCCACCTGAGGATGCTTCCATATAAATACATGTATGACCAATCATGGCTTTTCTGTTCTTGATAAGTAGATTTTTTGAAGATTTTTCCTATATTTTCCTATGTAAAACTTTGACCATCCATTGTAGTCCCACCCTACCCCCAGGGGGTCATGATTTGAACAAATTTAATTGAATCTACACTACATGACAATGATTTTACATGAGTTGCATCTTTCCTGGCCCAGTGGTTCTTGAGAAGAAGATTTTTAAAAGATGCCATTATTTTTTTTACTAATTCATAATTATCTCCCGTTAGAAGAGGGTGTGGCCCTTTGTTTGAATTGTAACGGGAGAGGAGAAAATGCAGCGGACCAGACCGGGATTCGAACCCGGGCCCCCTGAAACTCCGGTCAGGTGCTTACCAACTGAGCTATCTGGCCATCGGCGATCGAACGCGGCTGACCGCCACATTCCTCTCTCCTTAAAGGTCTTTGGCCCAACCCAGGGTCATCCCTGTCAGACCTCTCACCTGTCAATTCCAGGACATGGCACGGCACCAAATGTAACGGGAGATCAGAAAATGATCCCAGACCGGGATTCGAACCCGGGCCCCCTGAAACTCCGGTCAGGTGCTCTACCAACTGAGCTATCTGGCCACCGGTGATCGAACCCAGCTGACAAAATAAAGTTGAATCCCCTTCACCTAAGGATTCTTTGTGGCAAGTTGGGTTGAATAATTGGCCTATAGGTTCTTGAGAAGAAGATGATCAGAAAAGCTCACTTTCAAGAGCCTTTGGCTCCGGTAAGCTAAAAAGGTAAACCCCAATTTTAAATGCCTGTTATGTCTATCTCTGCCCCCCCCCCCAAAAAAAAAATGGGGAGGGGCTAGTCCCCCCCCCCCCCCCGGTTCCGACGCCTTTGAATTTTATATAGAGACCTAAATAACTAAATAAAATTTACGGAAACATCCGAGCGTCTGGTTGAACGAGACTATGCACCACGCGCTTCCACTTGAAGTAAAAAATCTCTTCATTATACTAACGTCACGGCTATTTGACGTCATAATGCCTTTGGCGTCATAATAGCCTTGATTATCGTGGATAGCGCAGTTTGGTCGCCAGGCAGTGCACAACAAAAATGGGTTTATTTCATAGTTGTATGAGAAAAAATAAAGTAGGCATCATCTCAGATGATGAGGAAGCAGCATACAAACAGATAGAGAAGGTGAACACCGAAGATGTGAAAGAGGAGGTTTACACTCCGACCCTCTTGGATGCCATGTTTTGTGTGACATCGAATCAGGTCTGTTGTGATACCACCAATAGTTCTAGTCCATATGATTGTACACCAGATAACACTAGATCAGATGTTTCTCAAGAGAGTGAGATGATGCAGCCCACCTACCAGTCGAGTGTTCCCAAACTACCTCCAATCAATGGGAACATCACGAGAATCTTGATTCTTCCAATTGATAACGAGGCCGCCTACCAAGAATGGAAAGGTAAAAAATGTGTATGCCTATATAGACTCCCTAATTACTTTTGATTATGAAATTCACTATGGCCGATATTAAACATATAGACATTTTTAAAATGCAGAAAAAACTCACAAAGCTCTTCGGGAGGAAGGTCTGTTGAAAGAAGGCAAATTGGCGGAAAGAAGAAGAAAACTGGTGGAGCGGGGTAAACTGAAAAACTAAGAAAGAGACAGACACACAGTGCAATGAACAACATGGAAATGAACAGTGTACAGACACCGTCTTTAAAATAACAATGACTTACTATTTATTCGTCTTTCCATGAATTTATTTGTTCATTTTTTATTTGAGAATACAAGGGACGTCTGAGCTCTTTTATCAGTTAATAGTAATTGCCGTATTACACTTCTAAATTATTTTTTTGTCCTTCGACCACATATTTGTATTGGAATTTTCCAGGATGTGGACCTTATAGACAAAACAGAGGATCATTTTCTGACCAAATTTACTTTTTCAAAATTATTTTTGGGTTTTCTTTTCTGGTAAGTGAGGAAGGTCACTTTGACGATTTGTCAGATCAAAATGACTTCCCAGCTTTCGGAACTTTGGCCTGCCAGGAACATCAGTCTATCATGTAAACAGAAGGAATGGATTACAATACCCTTACATTTAGTATAACATCTACATCCATTTAGTAAAGTTTCCTTGTACTTTACTGTTTTATTTATAAAACTTCCGAAATAATAAACATCATTTTCAGATTATCTTCTTTTTTGTCTGTCATCTTCGTTGTTGTTATCTTATTAATAAAATTGAACTTCTTCAAAATAAAAATAAAAATAACCCTGATATTGTGTGTTTTGTTATCTTTTTTTCTGTATATTACTATGTAAAACTTTGATCGTCTATTGTGACCCTACCCTAACCACAGGGGTCAGAATTTGAACAAAATTGAATTTACACCCACCTTAGGATGCTTCCATATAAATATGACCAATCATGGATTTTCTGTTCTTGGTAAAAAATTTTGAAGATTTTCCCTATATTTTCCTATGTAAAAATTTGATCATCCATTGTGGTCCCATCCTACACTCCTGGGGTCGTGATTTAAACAAAATTGAATCTACACTACCTAACGATGATTTTATATGAGTTTCATCTTTCCTAGTCCAGTGGTTCTTGAAAAGATTTTTGAAAGAAGCCATTATTTACCTCCCCTTAGAAGAAGGTGTGACCCTTTATTTGATACTTGAATTCCCTTCACCTAAGGATATACTTTGTGGTAAGTTTGGTTGAATAATTGGCCCAGAGGTTCTTGCATGAGAAGAAAATGATTGATTGTATATATTGTTTAATGTTCCTCCCGAGAATTTTTCACTCATATGAAGACGCCACCATTTGCCGATGGAGAGCTGCAAATGTTGTCCTATACTCGGCAATAAGGTCCTTTAAGCAGGGAGGGATCTTTTTCGTGCCAGCACCTACTGCGACACAGGACCTCGGTTTATACGGTCTCATTCGAAGGACCACACTGGGATTCGAACCCACGACGTAAGGATTGACTCCTTACTTCGCGACTCTTAGAGCAGACGCTCTAACCACTGCGTCGTCTGAGAAGAAGATGAAAATGTGAAAAGTTTATGACCACGACAATGGAAACTTTTGATCAGAAAAGGTCACAAAGGCTCATGTGAGCTAAAAAGATAAACCCAAATTTTCAATCCTATAGTAGGTCTATCTCTGCCCCCCCCAATGGGGAGGGGGCTACCCCACCCACCCCACTCCCCGATCCCACGCCTATGAATATTATATAGAGACTTAAATAACTCTGCTGGTCGGAGAGTGTCATCCGAGCGTCTGATTGAACGAGACTATGCACCACGTGCTTGCACTTGAAGTAAAAAATCTCTTCATTACGAACGTCACAACTATTTGACGTCATAATGCTTTTTGCGTCGTAATGCCCTTGGCGTCATAATAGCCTTGATTATCGTGGATAGCGCAGTTTGGTCGCCAGGCAGTGCGCAACAAAAATGGGTTTATTTCATAGTTGTATGAGAAAAAATAAAGTAGGCATCATCTCAGACGAGGAGGAAGCAGCATACAAACAGATAGAGAAGGTGAACTCCGAAGATGTGAAAGAGGAGGTTTACACTCCGACCCTCTTGGATGCCATGTTTTCTGTGACACCGAATCAAGTCTATTGTGATACCACCAATAGCTCTAGTCCATCTGATTGTAGACCACACAGTCCAGATAACTCTAGATCAGATGTTTCTCAAGAGAGTGAGATGACGCAGCCCACCTACGTGTCGAGTGTTCCCAAACTACCACCAATCAATGGTAACATCACGAGAATCTTGATTCTTCCAATTGATAACGAGGCCGCCTACCAAGAATGGAAAGGTAAAAAATGTGTGTGCCTATATAGACTCCCTAATTACTTTTGATTATGAAATTCACTATGGCCGATATTAAACGTATAGACATTATTCCATTGCAGAAAAAACTCACAGAGCTCTTCGGGAAGAAGGTCTGCTGAAAGAAAACAAATTGGCGGAAAGAAGAAGAAAACTGATAGAGCGGGGCAAACTGAAAAACTAAGAAAGAGACAGATACACAATGCAGTGAGCAACGTGGAAGTGAACAATGTACAGAACCGCCTTTAAAATAACAATGACTTACTATTTATCTATCTTCATGCATCTCTTACTGATTTAATTATTCCATGAATTTATTTGTTCATTTTTTATTTGAGAATACAAGGGACGTCCGAGCTCTTTTATCAGTTAATAGTAATTGCCGTATATTACACTTCTAAATTATTTTTTTCTCCTTCGACCATATATTTGAATTGTTATTTTCCAGGACCTTATAGACAAAACAGAGGATCATTTTCTGACCAAATTTACTTTTTCAAAATTATTTTGGGGTTTTCTTTTCTGGTTAGTCAAGTGAGGAAGGTCACTTCAGATCAAAATGACTTATCAGCTTTCGGAATTAACTTTTAGCTTGCCATGAACATCAGTCTATTCCGTAAACAGAAAGAATGGATTAATAACCTTTTTAAATTTATAAAAGAATTATAATAATATCTACGTCCATTTACTAAAGTTTCCTTGTCTTCTATTGTTTTATTGATAAAATTTCCGAAATAATAAATATCGATATCAGATTATTTTCTTTCTTTCTTTCTTTCTTTTTTTTTTTGTCGTCTTCGTTGTTGCTGTCTCAATAAAATTGAACTTATTCAAAAATAATTTTAAAAAATCTTTACTTTGGTTTATAAACCAAACATGACAAAAGCACCCTTTGGGCAAGTGGATTTGTATAGAATTCCATATTCGACAGCGCTAACCGCTTTCTGTCCACTGCTTACTGCTACTGGTAAAAGATGATATTATGTGTTCTTTTATCTTTTTATCTTTAATACACATGCTTAGTTAAATAATTATGATGGAAAGGATATTACAATAATTACAAAACATTGGTGGGTTCTGGAATTTTTAAAAGGTGAAGGCGGGAAAGGAATCAACCGTGAAGAGGAAAGAGTATTTCTCCTTGATTACAATTAAAACATTAAATCCCATTTCTTTGTAGCAATTAAGTAACTCAATAGATTTCTTGACGGAAGAGAGATCAAAGGTTTATATAAAGTCTGTAAACATTTTTTTGGGGGGGGCTTTTATAGGATCTGGGGTATAACATTTGTTGTTGTACCGGTATGTATTTAAACTATAGATACTTAAGAAAAATCATGATAAAAGACATTAACTCTCTAATGCAAAAAAAAAAAAAAAAAAAAAAAAAAAAAAAAAAACCAACAGTTTATCCTATGCAAGGAAGGAAATTCAATGCCCGGGTGTATTTTGTGCATTAATTATGTTTTTTTCTAGGTGTGTCTGAATACCCTCATTAAAGTAAAAATAAAAATTCGCTGAAATTAGCACTTTTTTTAAAAAAATGAAATATTTTCTGTATGTAAAAAGAGTACTCTTTTAATATGTCATTTTTTAAAACGAGGTAATTTCATCGAATTGTTATTTTTATTTTAATGAGGGTATTCAGACACACCAAAAACACAAAATACACAAAATACACCATCCTGAAACCAAGCGCCTATAGGGGAAGGGGGGCTTTTTAAGTATGACCTGGCTGGGATTTATTTTTATGTATGTGACAGACGGACCGACTGATAAACAGACAGATTGACCGACGAAAGAGATTTAAAATGTCCCCTCGCTCTGAGCCCTTTGCGAAAGCGGGGGACAACAAAATATGAACCACCGAACATGTGGGTATTAAATTATGCCCCTTCGATTGACTCTCCAACGAAGAAGACAAAAAGAGACGAGCGGGAAAGATCGTGGTTGACTGTGACACTGTTAAAGAATAAACCATGAAAAAACTTATACAGAGAGGGTAACGCGTCAATATAAGATGGCATTTAGCCTAGGAGGTGGGACAACGCCGTTTGGTGCAACAAGTACTACGTCATCAGCACCATCTTTTGGGTTCGGGGGGTCAACTCAGCCGTCAGGTATGGACTCTTAGTAATTTTTGTGTATTGTGCGTACAAAAATTTTATGCGCCATACTCATACAACTTGTCAGTTTTTTTTTCTAAATACGCAAATTCTAATTGTTTAACCAATTGGATTTTATTAGATATTGTCGTATGCGAGACAGATATGTATTTGTTTACTCGCTTATGGAATTTCCCCTTGCTATAAATAGTTGCATGCATTTTATGAAAAGTACATTTGCCTTGTTGCAGTAATAACATATGCAGTTTTAAACATGCATGCATGTTCATATAATTTTAAAAGAATATGTAAATGGACTAATATATTAGGGAAAGCCTGCAATAAGTTAGTTAATTTGACAGTGAGAATACATTGCATATAACATGTACATGTAATTCTTGATGGCTTGAACTTCGATCTCTCGAAGTTCTTGATCTCTCGAAGTGAGTCTGCGGTCCCGAAATTTTTCCCCCATTATAACTAAGCAAATTTACTCTTGATTTCTTGAACTCTTGAATCTTGATCTCCCGAAACCCTTGATCCCTTGAAGTCAGAATGGAGTCCCGCTGTGCATATTCTATTGAAATTTACCCTCGATACCTCGAAATGGCTATGTGTATACAAGTTACATAATTAGCAACTCTACCTGGACATTTAATGGCCCTAGACAGAAGATGCGGGTCTCGTGAAACGGGGTGTTTATTCAGGTGACACTTACACTGCAAGGACATTGAAAGTGATAATTGATTTATAATTAATCTTATGTTGTCTATATGCTATTAAAATAATTATCATCAACTTTATCACGAGAATTTAGAAATGTAGTGTCACTGAGAATTGTAAGTTCAGATTACAAGACGAAACACTTAATAAATTTAATTTTTATTTCGAATCGGTGTCAAAGTTTAATGAAATATGAAAATTCAGAAACGGCCTCACTGTCAATATGACGACTTTTGTTGGACAAATACGTACAAAATTTCGTTCAGTGCACATGTTTGGAAAAGTCACAATGCTATGTACCACGCGACACTGGTAAAATGTCGTTTTCATATAACGAATGCGTTGTATAATGTCGGCATGATAAAGAATAAATAAATATACATGAACTGACGATGTATATTCTTTGCTTTACTCGGTTTAATAAATATTCATCTAAAATATGAAAACATATCGTTAGTTTACAAAAACCATGTGTAAAATGTTAGGACTGCATGAAAATCATTACATCCAATAAGACTAATTTTAAAACCTGTCAAACAAACCCCGAAAATCCAGACTCTTGAAAACTCGAACTCTTGATCTCTTGAAGTTTTTCCTCGGTCCCGCGCACTTCGAGGTATCGAGAGTTCAGTCTTCACCAAATCCTGGGAAGCCCGGGACCTGGTAAAATTGGAAGCGCGCGGGCATGTGGAAATTGCACACTTACAAGCCCAAACGGCATGTAAATTCTGTGGCCTAAGCATCGTATTATCAAATTAAAGAATACCAATAACATTAAATATACTTAAAAGTAGGGATGTCAACGAGTACCCGGTTAACCGGGTACTCGATCGAACGTCCGAGTATCGAATACTAAAATCGGTACTCGGTTACTCGGATCTATGGTTTTTAATATTTCTAAGCTTATTTATTAATGCATTAAACAATCTGTTTTAAAACGTAATACTCATTGCACTTGTACATATAATTAGGGTTTCCTACTCCTCTAAATGACCGTTATCGCCTGTGGCAGTGTTTATACAGTAATTATCGTGACCAAGCACCTGTTACCTCGCTTTTCTCACCTTCGGCTGTCTTCTACCCTTATTTTTTGATTTGCTTTATTTATTTGTTTTCACGGAACATCGTTTAAAGTCTGTTATGATTAAATAAATTGGATAATTTTATCAATTCTCCGAGAAGCCGTGAATTCTCGGGAAAAGAAACAGATGATATTACACGCGCGATTGTTGATATACTTGTGTTTGATTACATGCCAATACATGTACAAATGGTTGAAGGCAAAGGCTTTTAAAAAACTGATGTCCATCGATGCACCAAACTACAAAATACCGTCCCACAATATTATAAAATCTAGGATAGAAAAGTATACGAAAATCGTAAATCCGCTCTGTTAGGAGAACTTAGTCAAGTTCAAGTCAAACAGTACGACTGATACCTGGACGTCAAACGCAACAAAGAGTTACATTACAATTACGGAGTAGATTATTTTTTTAAAACACAAACACTGTGAACCACTTACGATTTTATTTCTTGTGTTTATCTGATAAATATAATATTGAACTTAAAAAATGTTGTATTAAATTTCGTCGGGCACGAAGTGCTCATCATTGTTACACCAGAAATACATTTACGGGTAAACCTCCTATCAGATGCATGTGGCTTTATTACTACAAGAGTTTACAATATTTACATTCATCAATTTACTTCTTCATATTTATTTACACTTTTACCGAGTACCCGGGTACTCGATCGGAAAAACGTCCGAGTAACCGAGTATTAAAAATTGTCCGATTTGACATCCCTACTTAAAAGTCTTTGATTTTTCATCTAGAGAAAATTTTAGCGACAGTTCATTCTACCATGTTTTCCAAGGAACTTTTGCAAAGGAGCCATAAAAAATGTACAGATTGAAAACAATATTAAGGGCGAGACAATGGATTGATAGAAATAGATTTCGAATCATTTCCTTGGCGTGAAAAAGCAAATAAGAATAAAATTACTTGATAAAATTCTGGGCATGTAAATATTTGTTCAGGCTAGTGAAATTAGTGGTTACAGGTGACCGAAGGGCATGTACTTAAAAAAAAATTTGGGGAAGACTGAGAGTTACCTGTATAATAAATAAATTCCAGCTTATTAAAACAATATGACAACTATAACAATAATACACAAAAGATAATATAGATTTTTTCCATTTTTGAAAAAAAAATTTTGTTATAAACTAAAATGCAACTTGTTTGTTGTTACCCGACAGGAGGGTTTGGTACACAAGCGAAAACAACAGCAGCCACTGGTTTTTCTTTCGGTACTCCTGCTGCTACATCAACGACCGGATTCTCCTTTGGTGGTACCCCTGCTACCAGTGCATCTACAGGATTCTCTTTTGGTGGAGCACCGGCATCAACTGCATCTACAGGTTTCTCATTTGGAGGCGCGGGCACAAGCACAGGCACATCTGCTTTTGGAGGAGCCACAGGATTTCCTGTATGTGATTGTCTAATTCAAAAAAAATATCGCTTGATTTGCTCATGTCTTTGCTGATTTTTTTTTAATACAACTTTTGTGAAATTATTTTTTAAAAGGCCTGTTTCCATTACAAATGATTTCTTGTAAACCTAAATGTTATGATAATTATATTTTTTTTTATGTTCAGAGTTTTGGAGGAGGACTTGGGGGAACAGGCACCACTACTACAGGTCAAAGTTCATTTGGATTTGGACTTGGAAGTAGGTCATGTAACTTTTTAAAACAGAAAATTATCATGTTTTAAATTCTTAAACTCTAATCATAAAATATTTGAATTGATTTGTGATTAAGTAAATATAGTGTGGATTTTTCTTTG